TTCTGCTCTCGGACTTCTGAGCAGTGCCGTACTTTCTCGGGCACCTCCAGCTCCATCCACAGCAACGGCCACAGGCCTCCAGGTTAAAGTGGACACCAGCCCTGTCCACAACCACTGGAGTGCCACACAGGGGAGCCGCTGCTTACCACCTCAAGCTGACAGCAGTGGGGGGACTCACACGCAGTGAGCACATTCTTGTTGCAAAGGATGCGCAGATGAGCTAGCAGCCTCCAGAGGCTCATCTCTCCCCAGAAGGTTGTCAGGACAAAGGGAAGCCCAATTGCTCTAAAACAGTCTTTCCGCTCAAGCACATCACATCGCAGATGGAGAAAGAAAGGGAGTGGCCGGGCAAGAGGGTGCTGCTGGAGACGGATGGGACCGAGGGGCTGGAGCGCAGACTGCTGAGCAGAATGCTCTGAGAGGCTGCGTGGGGCTGCGCCAGGCCCACAGTCGGGGGGAGGGAGGGAGGGGCAGGAAGCAAAGACCGCAGACTGCCGCTGACCATGCGCCCACAGGGTGGAAATGCTTCACACCATTTCATCTGCCACTTCCCTTCCTCAAATGCTCAGAGGGTTTGCAGCGACTGATCACGATTACATTTCTAGGACGGGGCAAACCAAAATTTAAGCTGTCCACATTCTTTCCACCATTACCAAGGTACGAACACACACACACCACCCCCAACCCCCCAGACCCGTACAACTCAGGAAGTCTCTGTTCGTCTGAAATGAGCAGCCTTTCCCATCCAGGAAGCTCCCAGACAGAGGAGCACCAGCCTTGGGGGAACGCAGTGCCTGAGAAGATCACAATGCTTCCTTGTGCAAGGATTACACCATCAGAAAACACTCTGACCCACTGCCGGTGCAGGGAGAGAGAAAGGGCGTCGGCACCTGAGGTGGCCATGGAGCACAGACACACCAAGAAGGGTACCTCCCAGAGGTCTGCTCCAGCACCTCCCGCCTGTAGAACACCACCAAGCAGGGACCCAGCTATCCGGCCGCCCTCAATGAGCCCTGTGCCAGGGTGAGACCCCCTAAGGAAAGCCCGGGTCCACTTATGGGGCTTCGCTGCTCTCTGCATAAAGCACACCCCTGGCCACCCCATACCTGTCCACAGACCGCCCCCAGCACTCACCCTGTGGGGCCAAGGGGCTCTCCCCAGCTGCCTTCTCTAACAGCTCAGGACCAGTGTGAGGTCTCTGGTCAAGTTCATCCACCTGATGCTCCTTAGAGGTAGGTGGGCCAGAGGTTACCACATTTCTGCAGAGAAAGGTGGGAGGAAGCCTGACTGACAACATGTCCATACACACCCTCTCACCTCGACAGGAACCGTGGCGGTCATGCTGTCCTTGCGGTCTGCACACACTGAGGCCTGTGAATGCCCACGGCAGAATCAGTCTGCGAGCAGACAGCAGGCCACTTCAACATGCAGCCATCCACGGGGGAAAGGCAACCACCAACCATGTGGCAAGATGGGCTGGTGCGACGTCCCACCCCGAGTCACGCCTACCAGGAGATGGACAGCGCTGTCTGTGTGCACTGATACCAATTCTCACTTCCTGACCCATCTGCCCGTCAGCTGGGACAGGGGTGAGCAACATGGGGCCACGAGGAGAGGCAGAATGGTAACACCGCTGTTACCGGCAACTGTGGACATCTAGGGTGAGCACGTGCAGACAGACCAGTGGCAAGTCCATCACCAAGCCCACTTCCTGAGGACCAACAACCTTCAGCACGCAGCCAGTCATCGGTGAGGGAGAGGCAGGGTCCACCCTTCCTGAACACGCAGGTTGCTCAGAGGGATCCTGCCTCGAGACTACTTCAGCGGCTGCAAGCCATGTTCTCTGATTTCCTGACCTCTTAGAATTGACGGCATATGCACCTTCCATCCACCCAAAACCCAGGGGAAAGGCCAACAATGGGCCGTGGCTGTGGGATTGTGCTTTAGACTTGGGATTGGGGGAGAGCCACATGGAGACACTCGGATTTTGCCTTTCCCAGGCTCCAGGTCCAGAACCTGGTCCCCACGCCACCTGCCTGGACCCCTTCCACCCTCTCAGCAAGACTGGTTGGAGGCGTCTCTTGAGGGTTGGTTATTTAGTGGCAGCGTTTCCAGCAGAAACAACACTTCCCGCCTCCTTCAATCTCCTGCAGGATGAAAACTGATGTACCTGCGAGGAGGCAAAGTCTTCACTCTCATCAGAAGAAATACCTCACCATCGGCAAACAGATACATTATTTACAAAAGGACTCAATCGCCCTGGCAGGGAAATTCGGGCCGGGCAGCGCCTCACAGCCAGCCGGAAAGACACCTTGGTTCCTTAAACATCTCCCTCAACCCAAACCTCGGTGATCAAAGGACTCAGATGTTTCATCCTGAGCAGCAACAGCTGGACATGGACGCAGGAGGCGCACTCGGGGCAGCAAGTCCCATCACCCACCCTCACTGTGCAGAGGGCCTCTGGTCGGCTCCATGGATAGCAGCTGCTCCCTCCTCCTGCCGCCCACACCGCCTGGAGGCAGGCAGTCAATTCCAAAAACATTAATGAAAGTGACCTTATTCCAAATTGTCCAACCTCTGTGGGTCTAGCGATGAAAGAGAAAGAGAAACCAGGTCTTAGGCGCTTACATCAGCACCCACTGACACCCACTGTTCCCTGTGGGGACCCCAGGGCTGTAAATCATGATGGTGCACACTGGTACTCCACTATGGCACCACCAGCGTCCGGGACTCAACAGTGCCCCCCTGAGTGTAGAAGGCACAGCGCCCTCCCTGCAGAGTACCACAGGGTGGGGCTATCTCCCCAGGACCCCGAGAGACGGCAGGGAAGCAGCACCTTGCACACAGACGAGGGTGCCTGGGGACCACCTCGGGCTCTTTGCATACCCTGGAGGGCAGTAAAACTCCAGCTGCCCACAGAGGACAGCTACACTAGGTGCTCCACCACCCTTACTACCTCCGAAAACCCAAGTGGACAGACTGAACAGGGAGGGGACAGAGCAGGGAAGGTGCTTCAGGCTCCCAGGTGGGTGTGTAGCCCAGTGAACCTTTGCTACCAGGCAGGGGTCAGAGGTGATTTACCACCTGAAATTCTGAAACCCGGCTGTAGTAGAGGTGTGGGACACTCCCAGAGTGTCTACTTGCTCACACAATAGCTATCTCAACTGCGCAGAGGCACACACACAGACACACATCCAGTAGGCCATGCCCGGGGCCGTGTCCCTTCCCTACATTCATTCAGTCTGTTGCCTCAAAGCAGAGGACTTGAAGCACTTCCCGATGAAGGTCAAATACATCAACATCAAAAACCCTCACAACTGGACAACAGATGACCTGATGAAGAGAGAGAAAAAAACCCCAAAACTTAGGTTGGCAAAGACTTCATTTTGATTGGTCCACAATCAATGCTTGAGACTGAACACCGAATGGCATTGGGCAAATCTGCTGCCAAAGACCTCCTGCCGGTAATGAAGAGCCACAGCATCACCGTGAGGACCAAGGTGTGTGAGCCCATGAGTGGTGCTCTCCGCTGCCTCCAGCCTGCGAGAGCCGAGCATGTGTGAGGGAGGCACAAGAAGGGGTGCATCTGGACCGGGGTGCTGTTGACGAACACTGAAAGGCCCAAGGATGGCCAGAGAACAAACCAATTTGTCTGGGAGGAAGCAGAGACAGTACGCCTCGGGTGGTGAGACTTGGTCTCAACACTGGACAGGTGTCATGCAAATGGAGCAGGACCGGCCAGTGTTTTAGTTCTACTGGGCATGGGGAAGCAACACACCACCAAATTCATTCTCTCTCTCTTACACACCACACACACACACACACACACACAGCACTCTCCAGAAAAACATCCGGAAGGAACACATCTGATGGGTGCATCTCAAGTTAACAACTGAGGAAGGCAAGGAGTGCCTTCCTACGAATAAAGCCTCATTATAATTGGTTACGGAGCCCTGGTGGCTCTGTGGGAGGAGGGCTGGGCTGTTCACTACAAGGCTGGTGGTTCAAACCCACCAGCCACTACTTGGGAGAAAGACGAAGTTTATGGCTCCCATGGTAATTGACAGTCTCAAAACCCTAGACAGGATCACTCTGCGAATGGACTTCTGGGTAGTCGGGCTTGTTTGGGAGTGTCAGGTTCTCATTCATCTGGTAGGTTCGGCCCCCTGAGGCCTGGAGGCGCTGTGTAACAAGCCGCGCTTCCCCCCACCCCACCCCACCCCCGGCAAACCTCCACAAGGGCACCAGCCATCAGCTAAGTGCCATGACAGGTGTGGGCTGGTGCCCCGCCTCGCCTCTTCCCCTTAGCAAGTGCGAATGGACAAAGAATGGCCAAGTCCCCATGGGGGACCAGCTATCCAGATGCTGGAATTCATGAAGTTCCGGTTTGGGTACCACAGGACCTCAGAAGACGCGTGGAATGCCAGGCCACACACAGCAGGCGCTTGTTAGCCAGCTTCCTGCACAAACCTCCATGCACTCCCAATCCCAATCCTCTACTGTGCGTTAAAGGCCAACGCAGTCATTACGTCAGGCTGCGGGAGGTGTGCCCACATGGCACCGAGGTGATGCAGTGCCTCTCTGCCAGCCACAGTGGAGACCGTGTGAGCTGCGAGGCAGCCCTCGAAACCCTGCCTTCGAGTCAAAGGGGAGGCACGTAAACGCTGCCACGTTTGAAAGCTGCGCCGTTTTTCCTCAAAGGTTTGAAGGCAGAAGACGGGAGAAGGTGCTCTAACTGGTTGAGGTGCAGAGACCGAAAACACCGGTTTAAAGGTCCCACAGAGAGAACTTTACCTTCTCTGAGGATGGGAGGCAGGCCTTAAGCAAGGTAACAATGGGGTCCCCGTGCCCTGTGCCACCCCGAGGCCGGGCTGGACCGCACTGCCGGGTGAGAAAGGGAGGGGAGCACTGGCCAGGCCCTGCCGTGAACACTCCGGTGGGTTTGGATTGTCGAGGTGGAGCTGTGAGGTTGGTCAGAAAGGGGAGGCGTGGGAGCTTACCCGGGGCTGCCAGTTCTCATACTGCTTCTGTAAGTTTGCACCAATCGTTTCCAGAGCTTTCTGAGGGCCCATCGACAGAGGATCTAGGGGAGCAAGGAGAGAGACAGCGTTTAGTGTGTGGGCTCCTCAGCCCGCCTCAAGGCCTGTGGTCAGGGTGTCTCCTCAAAGAGGTTGCCGCAGCCCACAGCGCCTGGCCTGAGCTCCGTGGAGAGCACAGCGGCTGGTGCTCTCACGGTCACACTGTGGTCCTTGAGCAGGGCGGGGCTTGTGACACAGAGGTGAGACGCTGCAGCTCATTTTCCTCCACGGCCTCAGACAGCTCTGTGCTGAGCAGCCCGGCCTACCGAACAACCAACAGGTGCGTCCAGGGCTCGCCCAGGTGCACCAGGCGCAGCCAGCAGAGCACACGATCCCAGAGCAGCTGCTCCAGGTGCACGGTGCGGCCATTCACCAGCGAGGCCCAGAGCCTCTGTGTGGTGATGGATTCCATTCACCCATTTACAAACTTGCTATATATCAGCACAAATATTTATTAACAAGGAGAAAATCTCTTCTTTTAATTTAATGAGAAGAATGGCATTGTTTTATAGTTGTCTAAATCTGTTTACTATCTGGCTTAGCAGATGCCAGCTGGACTCTTGTCTGCTTCCCCTCGCTCACTCTGTAGTGGCAGCATGCTTCAGTCGGGATACGTGAAGAAACCTGGCCTCACGATGCTAGCTCCTTAGAAAAGGGTTGCTGCCTTGTTACGCGCCATCCAGGGCCACTGGCTACTGCAATTGAGGCTTTCCTAGTCTGCAGCAGCAGACCAGTGGAGGGGCCGCCAGGCAGGGGAGGACACTGTGGCTTCGACAATGGGCTCAAACATAACGACTATGCGTCATTGGCTATTAGCACCTACTCAGCTGTATGGAGGAAGAAAGACCTGGTGACCTGTTCTGTGGAGACTGCAGCCAGGAGACCCGACCAGTGCTCAGCCCCACTCAGGCACAGGGTCCCCAAGAGTCAGCACCAGCCTGCCAGCATCTACACTCACATGTGGCCCCTTTGTAAAGCTCACTGGCTGTTGGCACTGTGGTACCTGAAATCCCTGTGACCCATGATGCTGTTATTTCACCATAACATGCAGGCCTTGGTCATGTGGAGGAGTGGCTCCATGGGGTGAAGGCCTAGCAGACAGCATCTTGTCATAGCAACGGAGGATTTGCTCCCCAGCATCACCACGGTCATGGCCAAGAAACCCCCCATGCTGTGAGGGCATGGCCAGGCTGTCAAGAACAGCATGGCAGATGGCAGGGGGGTCTCATCTTGACTGAAGGCTGCTTCTGTCCCACCTACTTCCCTCTGAGTCACAGGCTCCCTTAGTCACTGTCCAGACCGAGGTCAAGTGGTGGCGGCCCCTTTAGGCACGAGTGGCAGCAGGCTCATCCCCACTCAGTGGCCACTACAGTGTCTGAGCAAGGCTAAGGTGGTATCATCACCCAGTGTGTGCTGCCCAGGCCGATGAGGAGGGCGGGCGCTCAATGGGTGCGGTTTAAAAATGGCCAAGGGGCATCTCGGCGACGCTTGCCAGGTTCCTGCTGAGCTGCCCGCAACCCTGCTGGCGAACCCACCCTGGCTATTGCCATAAGGACATGCCAGCCCCCAAAGGGTCAGGTGGGGCAGGCAGCAGTTTCTAGAGCGTAGCTTTGACCTGCCCCACCTTGGTGCACAGGCCCAACTCCAGCCTGCACCCTTTCTCAGAGGCCTCCATGTGCCCTGCTTCCCTGTTGCGCCTGCCCTCCCGAGGGCATCCCAGCACCTGCTTCCTGCATGAAGCCCTGGCGCTGCCTGCCCTCACAACAGCCAGAGCCCAGCCATGCTTGCGGGCACATTGTCAGCTGGGGCTCCCGAGATTTACGTTGGTCATCTAAGCTGAGGGTTTGGATGGCCCCCTGCGCTCTGCTTCCCCCATCTGGGTACTGC